CCTCGTCAACTTCGCGAACAACCTGGACCCGAACGGGGCCACTGTTCCGGCGTGGCCGCAGTACAGCGTCGCGAGCCGCAGCTGATGACGTTCGTGGACGGGCTCCGGAACCGGACGGAGATCACGACGGACGACTTCCGCAACGAGTCGATGGCGTACGTCGTCGAGCTTGCTCTCAAGTACCCCCTTTGAGGCGACGGTGTTGAGGGGCGGGCGCGGGGGCGTTCTACAGCTTGTTGGAGGGATTGTACGGTCTATGTCGCATGGTTGTCATCTGGGGTCCACCGCACTCGAAGTAAACGCTCATCACGGGCGGACGCTGTTTGCAATTCGTACGCAATGTCGTCCCTATGTCTTTCCCTATGACCAATCGCCTGCGAACTCGAGCCGCGCGTGTACGAGCGTCCCACTCACGTTCGTGCGGTATGCATCGAGGGACCAGCATAACAAATCATTGAGCACGAGGCTGGATGCGCCTTCGTCGCCGTGCTGCGCCAGCCCTCTTCTTGCCAATCCTGGGATCCGCGGCGCGCTCCCCGTGGGTGGCATGAAAACTTCAAAACCCCGATTTGGCCAGCTCCGTGTGGTCGCGGTAGAGAGAGAGAGAGAGAGGGAGAGAGGGCAGTTCAGTCACCTCCTCTACTGGAGGTGACCCCGGAACGCTACTTAGATAAGCACGGCAGCACGCCGACTCCCGCGCTGTCCTGTAGACGCCCCGTCGTCCGGCGAGTGGCCGCACGAGCACATGTCTAATATAGTATATACGAGAGAACTATTGAAGCAGTGAGCAGTCACAGCACATATGGAAAGTATGAATCACAAGGTCTGCCAGCAATGTCACCCTCCTCGTGGCTGAAATCTATCATTAGTTCGAGCACCTCAGGCCTGGGGGCTCCGATATGGCCACCGGCTCTTCCATCAGAAACCCATAGTATGCAACGTACGTCGATATAACGGCCTGAAAGCACGAGTGGTAAACGCTGCGTGACGCGTCGGGAGTGGAAGGCGTCAAGAGAGGACGGCACGCATGCCTGAGCGAGAGACGGGCTGCGGGAGTCGAACCAGTGTCACACCTGAACGCATCATCCTCCGGCTGTCCGAGAACCGTTGACACCAGGGAAGGAGAGCAAGCGATCCGTCGTGCTCTTGACAAACATATGGCGGTGTGCCGTCTGCCAGGAGTAGCCGTGCTCAGACGCCAGCTGTGCTGCCTACGTTCTCCCCACGCTCGATTCTTTTCCGAGGGCGACTTGATGGCCGTGTCGCACAGCCAGGACCCACGTTGGTCAAGAGGGACTGGCGATCTCTGTGGTAAAGCCGACCTATAGCGAAGAACAAGAAGGCATTCGCTTGCCGGCGCCTGACTCCGGCACCGGGCCGGCGTGCAGACAGTGATTCCAAGACGGAGGCTAATACGAAAAGTCCGTGATGATTCCACTAATCATAAAGTCCATGGTTCACAAATCTACTACAACAAGTGTCAGCGATATGAACAGCGAGACCAGTGGAGCAGAATGAGGTCAGAAAGATGCGGCACGTAAAACGTGCGCGAGGTAAGCCGGACGTAAGTCAAGCTCCTCCCCAAGCTCCAGCTGCACGCAAGTGTGCATCACGACGCTTCGGAGGGTCATATGGCCCCGGCGGGATGTCATCTTTACATTGGAGATGGAAATGGGACTCACAATATGTGATGTACAGGCAGCACGAGAGAATAGCAGCGAGTAGCAGACGACGCATTACATGTCATCGTCTTCATCCGTAAGTTCTTCTCCTGGACGTACGCCATGGTGGGAGTCGTGTCCCGGTTTCCTCGCCCACGAGTAGCCGTCCGTGTAGGGTTCTATGCGTAGAGGGATGATGAGCGTCCAAAGAGGGCTAGAATATGCATGGGGTCAGCGCGCTGAATGGAGTGAAAGCTTGAACGCAACATACTACCCATCCACTCCGACGTTGAAGAATAGCTGGAGGTTTTTGATGCGTCCCAGGTCGTAGCAGTTCACGAAGGTCTGGCCACTGTATGAGATCGAGCCGGAGCGATTTCGACAGCAAGAACTTACATCGCCTCGGCGACCCGCAAACCTTCTATACTGCTCATGGTCCTGGCTTTCTACCGATGTCTCGCCACACGAGATCATGTAAATCTGCCACCCGGCCATAGCGGTGACCGCCATCCACAAGACCCCCGCCAAGATGTATATCATGAGGAAAGCAACTGGGGGGACGACGTAGGGCCAACCTTGCTGGGGCGCGAACGTTGAGGGGTAAAACGCACGGAAAGAATGACTGGACGTACGTCGAACCAGCCCAGTGCTCTTAGTACGTGCTTCCACCCAAGAGTGACGTAGCATGCTGTCGAAACGACCATGTAAACCCTGCACGATGGTCAGATGTTACCAACCAGAAGATGACAGAGCTTTTGCCACGTACATGAACAGCACGAAATGCCGCTCGTTATGCACCCCGACGCATTGGTTGATCCCTGCACGCCAATACTTCAGACCTTGCCCACCGCACGCTCCCAGCGCGGTACTCACACTGCGCAACCTCGTCAGCACGGGAAAGCCCTCAAGCCAAGACGCGTACTCACAGGACAATGGTGGTCGTACTTCACACGCAGCGCCTGCAAATCCTGCAATGATGCGACCTCTCGCATCTGTGCCTCAGCCTCTTCTGCCTCTCCCAATGCAGGCGCATACACTCACCTCGGGCCGCATCTGCAGACACCGCTTGCAGCGCGTCGTCGTCGCGCGCGTCACGTTCACGTCGTCGGACCAGCGCACGCCCATGACCGCGCGCCGCACCGCGCTCTGCCGCTTCGTGCCCACAGCCATTTGGGGGAGCCCGACTGCTGCCGTGGGGAGTCGTCGACGAAGCCGGGGGGCACGGTGCAGACGAAGTAGTAGTGCGCGAAGAGGTTGAGGGCGATGAGCGCGCAGAGCGGGATCGAGAGCAGCGGGAGCGGGAGGTCAGGCGCGATGACGGTGACTGCAGAAGCATGGCGGCATGAGAAGGGTCTGAGGAGGTGGTGGGAACAAGGTAGGAGACTCACAGAAACAGACGGCACCGACGGAGATGAGGACGATGGCGAGAGCGACGAAGACGGGGCCCGCGGCGCCGGTGATGCGGTCGGCGGTGCGCTCGAGGCACTTGAAGCACCGGAAGACCTGGCGCGTGCACCACTGCGGCATCGCGGCTTGCGTGCGTGTGGGCCGGTCAATGTGGAAGTTGGGCGGATGGGGGAGAACAGGGGAAGGTGGAGAGGGGAAGACAGGGCAGTGGTGTTCGCTGTGCCTGATGCCGTTGGCGCCAGTGGCAGGCGACTCGACGCGTCGCTTGGCGCGAGTCCAAACGCCCATTTTCCGGGTACATGGCCGACAACCCGCCAGACCCGCTCCCCTTCGCCAACTTCGCAGGCAGCGTCCCCGAAGCCTTCGCCTCGAAACCGAGGACTCTCCAAAGCGCCGTCCAAGCATGGGCCCTCACTCGTGCCGAAGAGTCCCGCCGCCTCCTCTTCGCTCTCCTTTCCCTCCACAACAGCGTCGCCCCCATCTGCCTTAGACTGCCCACGGAGATCCTTACCACCATCTTCGTTCTCCATGCCGGGGAAGGCGACCCCATGGTTGTCGCACACGTCTGCCGCAGCTGGCGCGCCGTCGCTCTCGGCACCCCTCGCTTGTGGGCCGTCGTCGCCCAATCAAGGTCGCCCACGGCTCCCTTTTCTCAGCTCTACCGTTTTCCGTCCGGTACGCAGCTCGGAGAGGTTCATCCCCGTCTTAAATATATCAAGTCTGTTTTGGAATGGTCTCAACCCCACCCCCTTCACCTCTTCCTCGACGCGTTTCCGCTGCAAATCATCGAAGAGCTCGTCTCCCACGCCGGTCGACTAGTCGAGCTTGGAGTCTTGGTCAGTATGGAGAGCGATGTCCAATCCGTGCTCCAACTTCTGCGTCAGGAGAAAGCTACCAAACTCAAGACGATGTCGTTATGGCCACCTGTGGACCACGTGCCTTACGTGCGGACAAACGGTTGGGTCGGTCTTGCGAGCCTCCCTGCGCTCCAGACCTTAGGCCACATCCCCCTCGATCTTTTCTATTATATTTCTTGCCCCGAGCTGCGCGTGGCTCACATCACAAACCACTGTATCTTCTGGAAGCTCCGGACGAGTGTTCAAAACTGGTCACCGCCCTCCAGAAGTGCCCCAACCTTCGACATGTCTCCTTTGTGATATCTCTACTTCCTTACGACCAACGTCGCGAACTTACTCGGTGGCGGAGCGCCAAGACGGTCAATTTGCCTTCCCTTGAAACGCTCACTTTCGACGTTAGGACCGATCCAGCCATCGTTAGCGCCACCATGAAGCTTCTGTCCCTCCCCCCTCGCGTCAGCATCAGGACGATAACCCACTCCCTCCGTCACGACATCTGGATCGGGATTGGTGGGGACAAAGCGTTAGCGAAGATGCTCTTCCAGTCCGTCGCCAGCGTCTTTGTAGGCACTCTGGAGGCCGATCCAATAGAGCTCAGCGCCCTCAAGGTCCAATGCGGCCACCAGTACAATACCGATAGCTTTGTTTTCGATACCACTATACGGCGATCCTCCCCCTCCCCCTACGTCCCTGGATACGATTCAAATCCCACTCTCAAGTCCCACACGCCATCGGGGCCTTGCTTCCATCCTCTACAGCAATGCGACAGTCACACACCTCACTCTCCACCTCGATGACGATCTCAATCCGACGACCTCCGTCCCATCATCCTCCGTGGGTTTCCCTTCCTCGCTCAGCTGAACCTCGGCGGGTCATGTGCGTACGCCGTGCTCGAAGCGCTCGGGTTCATGGGCGACCCGTACGCGCCACCGCTCTGCCATCGCCTCCACACCCTGGTCGTCGAGTTCCCAACGAGCACCAGCTGGGACGATACTTCGCGCGATCACTCGAACAAGTTCTCCCAGGATCACCCGTACACTTCCTCGACATCGGACGACGAAGACACGCTGACGAGACGAGCTCGAGCGCCGAGCGTGGTGTTGTGGGATCTGGGGCGACAACGGGGGCTGCTCTTGAACACGCTCGGCCGGCGCGCGCTACGTGGGGCGCGTCTCACGTCGCTGCACTGGAATATGCGTGCGTGGAACGGGAAGACGATGTATGGGTTTGAGTGGCCGGAGTCAGTGGCCGTCTACGACTACGCCCTGGACCCGGAGGAATGCGACTTGACGGGGCTTCAGGAGCTGGTGGACGGCGAGGTGACGTTTGAAGGCGTCACGTACGTGCTCCGTCCTGTCGTCAATATATGTGAGTTTGGAGTTTCTCCTTCCTCGGCACTCGTTCAACTTCTGACGATCTCGCGCCCAGAACTCGCCTCCTTCGACTCGCTTCCGACTAGACATCCTTTCTCCCCGCCCTGTCTACTACCCCTGCTTATTTCAAACTGGCCTTCCTCTACTTTGGTGGCTGAACGACGCGGTCTCGGGTAACGGGCCTTCAGATCTCGCATTGAATGTGAGTTTTTTTCATATATTTTATCGCATCGCGCTGACATAGTTGTTTCTAGTGTCCAACACTGATGTGGCGAGGCGTGACGCGTTTAGAGCCTGGGTTATCTATATATTGTAGAACGCAACTTGGAGCTCGACGCTGTCATGTTTGTGTCTATCATAAAAGTTTGTGGTTTACTTCGTGCCGATGATTCTCGATTTACCTTCCGCTGGCAAGCAGTGTGCGCTGGGCTACTGGACACCGCTTGACAGGCCCTTTGGAAGGCGTGATCCGCGCGACCGAGAGGCTAGCAGCCTGTTTGCGTCGACTGCGGTCGGCTGCCACCTTGAGGAGAATACTTCGCTGTGCCTGACGATATATGCGGTTCTCACCGCTTGTTTAAGGAGTCGCAGGTCACCGGACGCAATCGTCTCACGAAGCCCTTCGATGAGGTGATTCACTCTCACTCTCGCGTGTGACATCAATGCTATTTATCTCCTCGTATCCTGGCTGAACTACTTCTATTTGCAGCGCTGGAAGGAAGTGGGGACGACGCAGTACCTGTCCTGGCTTTACTCTCATCGCCCATCTCCCTAGCGCTGCTCGTCGCCAACATGCCCGTTGCCGTCCCAGCGCCCGAGCTCGGCCAGTTTAACTACGTCCCGGAGACAAAGGTTCGAAGCTGTTTCCCCTTGCCTCGCTTATCAACGGCGCTGATCGAGATTCAATCGGCAGGAGAAGCTCGACTGGGCCGATCTCACCACCCTCGACTTCAGCCTCTACGGATCGCCGAGGGCAAGAAACAGCTCGCCGACACCCTCGTCAAAGGCGTTCGTGAGCACGGCTTCTTTATGTCAAGAACTTCAACATCTCGCAGGAGCGCGTCAACCGCCAGTTCTCGCTGGGAAAGCAGTTCTACGAGCTGCCGTTGGAGGAGAAGTTGAAGTATGTACCGGCAAATCTGGTGAGTGCTTCGTCTGCTTCCTGCGTACACCCGTTCCTGAACGCAGGACGTGTGTAGACGAGGGAGGGTATAACGGTTATGTTGCCTCCGGTCGCCGCATGTGAGTATGTCCGCATGTCGGAGACTCCCTATCTAACGTCTTACGGTCAGTCTCGACGCCGAGTCCGGGATCAGAGACCGCATCGAGATCTACAACATTCCTAGTATGTGGAGCCACTTCTTTCTGCCATAGATAAGGCGATCCTTATTATGTGGTCGTATCTTAGAGTTTGACGGTTTCTTCACCCACAACCACCCATCCATCGTTCAAGACAATCTGGCGGAGATCGAGGAGTTCGCTAGGGTAAGCGCATCCTCTTCCTCTATCATCGCGGTTGACATCCCATATCCTAATTCCTTACCAGTCTCTCCACACCGAGGTGCTGAACCCTTTGCACATCTTGCTCGCGATTGCCCTCGAGCTCCCCGAGGACTACTTCCTCAAGATCCACGACTACTCCCGCAAGAGCGAGGACCACTTCCGGTACATGAAGTACACCAAGTTCACTCCCGAGGAGAACGCGAAAATCGGCCGCCTCTGGGGCCGGGGCCACACCGACCTCGGCTCGTGGACGCTGCTCTTCCGCCAGCCCGTCGCCGCGCTCCAGATCCGGCACCACACGACGAACGAGTGGAAGTGGGTGCGGCCGCAGGACGGGACGCTGACGGTGAACGCGTGCGACGCGCTCTCGTTCCTCACGGGCGGGTACGTGAAGAGCACCGTGCATCGGTACGTCGTTGCGCCCTCGGGTTCGATGAGAGGCGGAGGCTCACATGATGCGGACAGTGTCGCGGCGCCGCCGAAGGACCAGGAGCACGTTGACCGTCTTGGTATCCTCTACTTTTCCAGGTATGTCCTTTCTGTGCTGCTCTCAAGCTCCGTCAACCCTCATGGTGTCGGTCTGCAGGCCGAACAACGAAGTCAAGCTCGAGACCATAAAGGACTCTCCCGTCCTCCAGCGCGAAGGATTCGTCAAGAACCCTTTCGAAGAGTCCAGCAACCCTGCGCCCACCATGGAAGGTTGGTCGGCGTCCAGCTCGTCCGACCCGCTTCGCTCTCCCTCACATTGCCCGATTCCGGCTGCGTTGTGCCCATCTGGATCTGCGTACTGATGTTCCTCCCGCAGAGTGGACGTTCGCGAAGCAAAAGTGGCAGCGCGTCAACAACACGGTCCGCGGTGACCCCGAATACGAGAACGCGCAGATCGTACCCGGCTATTCGGAGAGGCGGTACGTATGATGGTGCAGAAAAGCGTTGCATTGTATATCTATGTGGACTGCTCGGAATAAGAGTGTATTGCGACTCGTAATCTCGACGTTGGCCGTACGCGGCATTGTCGGAAAAGCAGCGACGGCGTACAACAACAAAAGGTTGCATGTAAGCTATGTAACGATCGTGCGGCGCAGAGCGGCTGCGGCGACGGTATATGGTCCGGGCTATCCCCAGCTTCCAGTTGTCGCTGCCGCCGTCTAGTAGCCCACGGTTAACACTTGCAGGACTCTTGGACGACGAGCGACGTACGGAGTAGTCCAAATCCAACACCAGGGCCAAGATTCGGTAGGCGAAGAAGGCGAAGGAGCTTGCCAAACTATGACCCGCAAAACGTAGGGCAGGTCACCAACAGCCGCGCAACAGTGCGAGTTGGATTCAGACTCACCTGAGCCGATGCCGGATCTACTTGGCCTCTTCCTCTTCGCCTTCTTCGCCTCTATGATGAGCGGCGGTGCCTCTGAAGGCAACACGGGGAACACAGGTCGCGCGCCGTTCGACGAAGACCTAGCGGAGTCGGTGGAGCTTGTGTTTGTACTCTTGGAGGTCTTTTGCGACGTCCCGACGCGACCGTTGGAGACGATGGCCCTACGGTGAAGGGTTCTGCCCATATCGGATCGTCTGAAGTGAAAGGGAGGAGGTCGCAGCGCGAAGAAGAGGCGGTGTGGGGGAGAGCAAGCGGTGTACACACCCTATATGTGGACATCTCGACCACCCAAGGACCACGAGGCAGCACACCGCTCATGTGCCTGACTCGACCCATCTCGAGGCTAGCATCGTCAACATGACTTTGCTCTCCTCGATGCTCTTCGCCCGCCACGAGACGCATCCCCGGGGAATGTCTCGTCCTATATACCCTCACCAACATGAGAGGTCGATACCGCACTAACACACAAACTCCACGACAGGGACGTCGATGTTGACTCCAGGAGACATGCGCATTGAGCGGAGTAGGGGTCGCTTGCAAGTTGCCATACAAGGAAGGGAGACACTGCCCATGCGTGGCTTTGGTTGGGAGAGCGATGAACATCGTGGTCGGGAGAGAAGGGAATGCGCAGTGGTGATGCAGAGCGATGGTTTGAACGGGGATTCGCCGCCTTCGGTTCACGCCGCAGGAAATGACGCTTGGGAAAGACAGCGGCTATGTAAAACAAAGAATAACAGCCTTGTCGATACTGCGCCTTCATGACGTAAGCTCAAGAAGCAGACACACAAAACATACCAGTGCGTACCTCTACCGCGTACCCCAATGCCAGGTCCATCCCTCAGTGACTCCCAGATACTATATTTTCTCGTCCTCTACCTCGCACACGAGACAACCAGGAGAACTTACGAATGTCGGAGCGAACACCGTTCGACCTCGAGGTAACGCCTGTATTGAAACGTGGCTAGCACAGGTGTTGTTGAAGTAGGTTTGAGGTTCGAGGGAGTGGGATAACGTTGGATTGTGGACATGAATGATACAAAAAAGGCCGAGAAGGATGAGGGTTGATGAGGGGCGGAAGAGAGAGATCTAGAGTCGCACGGTGGCGCCCGGGCTCGGGTGCTCACCGGTCACCGCGAGACCTCGCGAGACCGACCACTCCGCGCGCGCGCGCGATCGACGCTGCATTTGAAGTTGCAACTTGGTTTCATCCTGCCCTGTGCGCCACACCCTCCGCTCTCTGTGTGACTTAGGCCCGCATGCAGCCCGGCTGGGTCGAACTCACGTGCTTATGAGGAAGCGATAAACTACTCCTGGCGCAAGGGGCGTACTTTGTCGATCCAACTGCCGATGTGTCTCTCGCCACAGGTTGAAGAACACAAATCCAGTCATATGCGCCACTGTCACCATACAACGTGTGCGCCTGGCAGATGACAAGCGTCCGCATAATCCCTCCAACAAGCTGTAGAACGCCCCCGCGCCCGCCTCCTCAACACCGTCGCCTCAAAGGGGGTACTTGAGAGCAAGCTCGACGACGTACGCCATCGACTCGTTGCGGAAGTCGTCCGTCGTGATCTCCGTCCGGTTCCGGAGCCCGTCCACGAACGTCATCAGCTGCGGCTCAGCGACGCTGTACTGCGGCCACACCGGAACAGTGGCCCCGTTCGGGTCCAGGTTGTTCGCGAAGTTGACGAGGTAGTCCGTGAGCTCCGCCGGTCCGAATACGTTCAACAGGTCCGAGGCGTGTACCGAGCCGAGGGTGGGGACCCACTTGAAGCGCTTGCTCACTACCAGTGCCGGTGTCAGTATCAAGTTCGAGTCGGGACCTGGGGAGTAGAACGCACGGAAGGAGTACACAGGCTGGTCGTCGGCGCGCTGCTGGATGAAGAACCGGCGGGCGGCGTTGAACACGAGGTCGCCCTGGAAGGCGCGATGCGCTTGAACTGGGGCGTGATCGCGTTGCGGTCGCCGGTGTCGAACGGGAGCCCTGGGTGACGTCGCTGGGTAGGCGGAGAGGAGTGTGTCGAGCTCGGCGTCGGTGATGTCGGGGACGTAGATCTCCTTGATGTACTGCGCGAACTGTCGTCCGTCGTCACGTTCTGTGACGACAGCGAGAAGACGTGCCTTCGTCGTCACAGTCCTGCACGTGAAGCGGTCAGCATTGAAGGACTCAGGCGTGCGACCACATGAAGCGAAAAAAACAGACCCCGGATACGAAAGGCACGTCAGCAACGCTGCCGTCAAGGACGAGTTGCTGCGGCGCATCGTGAGGAAGACCCATCTACACGGGGGAGCCACGCGAGCCTGAGGGACTGGTACGAGAAAATGGAGGGCGATGCGTCGACGGCCTGTTTGAGCAGATCGAAGTCGACTTCCCGAGGCACTGAAGCGTATCTAGGGCGTCGTGGCAGTCGGTCTGGTTCACTATCGCGTCATAGTCGCCCTGGCCGTGCTCGATGTCGCCGACCGGAATGGGCGAGCCGCTCTGCATGAACGCCCCGCGGAAGAGACCCTCGGTGTCACCGCCGTTGGTGATCATGTGCATCGCAACGGAAATCGCACCCGCACTCTCGCCCCAGCTGACGTTTGCAGGCAAGGGTCAGCGTACGCGGTCGGAGAAGTGGAGGACCGAAAGACGTAGACGCACATGGTGACCTTGCTCGGGTCCCCTCCGAACTGAGAAATGTATTTCTGCACCCAGTGGAGAGCGAGACGCTCTGGAGAGAATTTTAGTTAGACGTGTCTCTCGAGGAAGGGAAGACGTCGCTCACGGTCTTGGAGGCCGAGGTTGCCGACGCCAGCTTCCTTGACTTCCTTACTGGCGAGGAAGCCGTACGCTGTGTGCATACGTTAAAATCCTGGAATGGAAGATGCTCGGGATCAAAACCCTACCAGAGACACTGTAAGAAACCATGAGCCGACGCTTCGACATTTTCCGGATGAGAGCACTCACCGATAGTTCATGCTCACGAAGATTGTCGGCTCGTTCATAGCAATCGACCGCTTCACCACAACACCCCTTTCGCCCTAAACACGTAATTCGTTAGCATTTCCTCGTTTGAAAGCGTATAACACGTACATGCTCGAACCGCCGACCTGAAATCCGCCTGCGCATCAATTGAGTCAGTCGGTTCGTTTACGCTACCCATGCACAGGACCCAGGTGACTCGGTCTTACCTCCGAATATCCACTAGTATATTGTTAGTCAATCATTGACGATGAACTAAAAAGGGACTGACCACGGCGACAGGCAGGTCGTCTCCAATCTGGGCTCCATTAGGAACGATCACGTTCAACGAGAGACCTGCGGCAAACCAAGCATAGCTCGTCAGCAACTGCACATCCAGCGTATACTTCCGTAGTGCACGTACAATCTTCGTCGGAGGTCTCGACACTGGCGAACATGGTGGTGTTCGCGTAGTCTACGACATCCGAGGGGAGCTCGGCGAGGTTCTGGGCCTGCTGGGGGCACGACGGCCCGTACGCGGACACGTTATAGGTACCGGTGTACGCGTCGACAGCGACGGGAGATTGAAACGCAAGTTTTCGGTTCTGCGAGGAAAGGCGAATGAGCCAAACGGCGAGGTGTGAGGAGACAGAGACGTACGGAGGCTTGCCGAATGGAATGCCGAGGAAGTTGTTCACGTCGCCGTCCGCTTCACCCACGAAGGTGCCCTGGTCGAGGGTGACCGTCGGAGGGGCACGCTTCTCAAGCCTGTCTGCGGGCACGGCGAGAGCGGCAGCTGCGAGGAGAAGGAGCGAGCAGGAAACACGGATTGAGGGCATGGCGGGGGTGGGGGTGGAGGAAGACAAGCCGTTCAGCAAGGGGATGAGCGCAGAGTGGCAGCGAGGTCCTTGCAGAAAGTCGCGCACTGGGGGTGTGCTTTTTAAATCATGGGACTGTCGGGCGGTTGAAGCTGGTTTACCGGCAGCGGATTCGACCGAAAGCCCGAGGCAAATCAGGAATTGAAGCCAATGCACAGCCGCCGTGCGAGGTGCCGAAGAGTGATTGGGAGGCGCATGCGGCGAAGCATCATGGTCACCGGTTGAGTGGTTGTGAGAGCGAATGTCACATGGCCGGCGGTCGTGTTGTGCGGAGAGGACTGCTCTCGCCTATGCATTCCACGTGAGTCGGATGATGTGGGTTGCATGCAGGGACATTTGAGCACACTTTGAGGCTACTACAGCCTGCGCCGTGCCGATGCAAGCTGCTTGCACCGGAGGAGTGCCAGCAGAAGTCGGGTCATGAATCCAGCAGATGAGGTCAAGTATGGTTGAGAAGGATCGGAGGGGCTTTTCACCGAGCCTTGACATCAGGAAAAACCCAAATCCATAATGAGACGTTACTGAGGCTTGTAAGGGCTAATGAGCTGGATTATCACGTTATTCAGAAGTATTCTTTTTCGCTTACCCCTCTGCTAATGAGAGACCATTACATGGAGAATGAAGAATTAGTCACGAGGGTAGGCCCTCACCAGATGCACTTAGTCTCACTCATGCCCGTATATCACTCCTTCAGGTACTGGATATCGAGTAGTAGCACTCATCACACATAAAATATAGCGCAATTATGAATATGAATTCAACGTCTGACACACAGACCAGACCAGTATCTAGCGACAGCGACATAGATGTACCTATCAGCGGGGGATGATGGCGCAATGTAAACGGAACCAGGTGCTGTAGGTGCGTGCATAGAGACAGAGAACTTCGCGCGGTCTGAGTAGAGTTCATTGAACGTGTGGACCTCCTTCGCGAGGTATGGTCCGTTGGGCGCGCGCACGAATACGGGGTGCGCACCGCTCACGCCTAGGAACACATACGAGCACTCACGCCCGCCGCCGCCGCCACCGCAACCAACGTGCACGCACACGGGCGGCCCTTTCAAGCTTTTCGCTCACCGCCCATCCGCCAGTCCTCTCGCGGACCATGTCGAGCGCGCCACCCACGACGGCGTCGGCGTGCAGTCAGCGAGCACGCACCCGGTCCCGCTCGAGGGTACATTTGTCGTCTCCAGGGTCGACGACCTGCCCTCTGCTGTCCCTGGCGCAGGGGCGGGGGGCGGGGGCTCGTCTGTGCGACGTACCTGCGGAGGACACTGGTGTGGCTGTCACGCCACCCGCTGGCGGGACGCCGACACTGACGAGAACGAGGGGGTCGTCCCAGGGGCCGATGCGGCCTTGGAGCACGTACTTGCGCCAAGCCTGCGCGTATCCCACGGGGAAGTTCCTGTGTGTGCGTGAGGGCACGCGCGGGGGAGAAAATGGGTCAGCAAAGGAGAGGCAACGGAGGAAAATACGCTACCTCGTCAATGACGAAGATGCTTGTGATCCCAAAGCATGTCCACTCGGTGACCGTCCGTCAGACTCGCCGCGCGGGTCGGCGGGCTGGTTTGTCGTCTCCGCTCAAGAAAGGAACTGGCGTGGGCGCACCAAAATCGTCGTGCGTTCATCCCTCGTCCTCTTCAATCCAGGGCCGTCTGGGTCTTTGCCGGGCACGAGATAGCAGACGAAAGTGGACACACGCCGCTGGCTGCAGCGGCGGCACAAGCCCACGGTGAGTGGGGACACGGGCAGGGGATTGCGACTGAGGCACTCACAGATTCCCGAGATATCGGAGGAACGGGAGGTGGGTGGACCGCCGTCACGGTCGAAGATGGGTTGGCCTCGGGTGGAGGACTGGGTGTCGCAAGGAGCGTGACCAGTTGTTGGACCCCTGGGGCGGGCGAGAGGGGTCCCGGGTGACACCATGCAATCATAGGAGTAAGGTACTCACCACCTGGATGCCAAAATTGCACAGGCTAACACCGTCAGAGGTCTTGAACTGCGTGAAGATGAGTGTTGTCCGGAGTAGATCACGCACTCGGGGAGGGGCTACGGGGCCCTTGCCATGGGCTCTGGAAGGGGGCAGCCGGCAACCATGGGGCTCTCGACGGCGGGGTCGAGTTGCATAGGGATGTCCTCGTTTATGTCTATGGGGCCGTATGGGTCGAGGGAGGCGCCGGTCGAGCAGTCATCGTCGTGGTCGTGGTCGAGGTCTGAGAACTGGGCCGCGGAGAACAACGACACCGTAGTTTGACGGAGGAGGAGGAGGAGGAGGAGGAGTGTGGTGGTGGTGGTGGTGGTGATGGCAGCTTGGAGTCTCGGTCTGAGACGACGCAAGGACGCGTGTCACCGAGGAGTCGGAGTTGTCACCGTCGCCGAGTCGTCACGCGTCATGCTTGGGCGCTATTTGGCGTGCCAACCGCGTTGCGTCCTCGACGTGTTGAGTCACCGCTCTGCTGTCACTTCCATCTAGTCTCCTCTCCTTCTATCCCTCTGGTCCCAGATCTCAGGGGTTGCTCAGGTTCGTGTCGTCTTCTCGGATGAATGAACTCCGCCTCAACTGACTCTGCTTGTTTGCATGATGCCCTCCTCGAGAATCGAAGGAGAAGCGGGCGTAGGTGTGTTGCCAAGCTTCCACGTGCTATTCCGCACTTTGACTGGAGCCAACACTCTCCTGGCTTCGTCTCCTCTGCCTCCTCACTGCCGTATCTGGTCCCTCTGCTGCTCGCCACCCCTCGTTGTTCAAGAAGCGGCCATCCGGCGGCCCTCTGGCCCGGGCTCGCACCAACTTAGTGGACGTGAGTTCCCGTGCCTCTTCCTTGTGCTTTGCCTGTATTTTTAATCTCCCACCTTCCCCCTAACTAGGACCTGTACTACAGTCATGAAGAGACTACGAAGATCTGCGCGCGATTTAAGTTGTCACGCGTTTCTTTGCTCCCCGTCCCGTTCCTGGGCACGCGGAGCAAGCTCCTCGTCCGGTTCGCACCATCGTCGGTGTCGGTGTCCACCTTCCCCGCGTCGAGCACGCCTCATCGACGCCGCTCGGCGACGAGGTGCTTTGAGGTTCTCTGCTACCGGATGCAGGGCGCAAAGATCAGGCGCGATGTGACGGCCATTGACTCACGAGCTTGTGGGCGCGCCTGGGTGAGTGCGACGTTCTGACGCTCCACGACGGCTGCCGGATCGTCAATGCGCTCGTTGCGCGGCCTCTGTGACGAGTGCTACGGCTGCTTCAGCTTCAATCCGATTGTTGTCAGCCGTGGTGCTATGGTCAAAGCACGCGTCCACTCACGACGGACCGCCACACACAGTGACAGTGCAACCGCGCGGCACTCCCGCAGCCTCAAAGCGTTCGTAGAGGGTCCACTCATCTTCCTTGTCAAGTTTTCCGCACACCTGCCCTGGTTCGTCGCCCTCTTTGTCCTCCTCTCCCAACCCGCGCTGAAGGGCAACCTCGACGCACTTGAGGGCGTGTACACGTCATTTCCAACTACTGCCACGCGCACACGCCGCCCACGCACACTCACTCCGCGAGCAACACTACACCTGACTCGCCGAGCTACGCGCTGATCCCACACTAGCACGTCTACTCGCTGGGCTGAAACGTCCCCGCCTCGTTACCCAAGCTCGTCATCGCGTTCGTCGCACTGCAAGGCAGCCTGTACGCGGAGAGATAGGTGACGGGGATATCGAGATCGGGTACGTATTCAGGTAAATTCTCGTTGACAAACCTATCGTAGGGTGTGCCATGGGTATCTGTACACTATCGCAGTACTTAGATCACGAAGCAATGGCAGCTTTATGTGTGTTCAATCTATGTGTGCTAATATGTCACGAGCAGTGGGGGAAGTCGTACACCTGGTGCTACTTGTCGAGATCCAGTCGAATGTATCATTATTGGCTAACTGCATGTACAGATATTCACTACAGCTGCTCAAACATGTCAAATTATGCCTCATTCACCCCATAAGCAACCAGAAGGAAGGTGATAGTGTCTGTAAACTGCGGTGAGTTGGAACAGCGGCAGTATTTCGGCGTATATCGGCTTACCAATATTTTACCTCTCAATAGGAATTTGGGTTTTTCCTGATGTGAAATGCGGGACGTACTTTCACATTGTTGTGTATACTACCTGGCAGGTCTTTATCTCCTGCTACGAGTGATGGTTTGATACGAGTCTGCGCACCCTATGAATCTCTAGTATCTGGCAGAAAGTGGACGATATACTCACGGGTTCAATCCCGTGACCAACATTCCGTTCTGTTCCAATACCTTCGCCCGCCGCTTGTGGGCGCTGATCAATGGTGAGCATACGAGAGGGAGGTGGAAACGATCACACGACACCTTCTTGAATTCGTCAAGAATCTCCTTCAGCAGGACGCAGACTTTGTCAAGGGACGCGTTCGCCTGATCGAACTGTGTGAGGAATTTTTTAGCTTCCGAACAGAGAAAAACAGGCATACTGGCAGCGTCACGGAGGAGGGTGTATCTTCAGGGAGGCGAGCCGTGTCTGAGGTTTGTTCAATGGACAAATGCGCCGAGGTCTGAGTGTGAGTGTATCAGCTGGTCGTTCGCGTTATTGGGTGATTCAAGTCTGTGCGTACCGGAGCGCGGAGTGAATCCTTGGCAGAGACGGTCGGCGAGGGTGGCATAGTGAAGCGACTGGGATGGAGTTTTCCCTGAGCACCCGACCTCACGAGATGGGATGTGTGAGTGGATGTGGGTGGGGAGCAGGACGGGGAGTGAGCGGTAGGTGAGCTGAAGAGAAAATACAGCCTACCCACGTTAGTAGACGCATGCGTTGACCGCGCAAACTGCGCCTGGCGCGCAGGTCCGCGGTCGGACGAAGGAGAGGGCTACGGTCGACGTTGGGCTCATGCTCATGCACCACACTCGCCAAACGTGGGCGTGCAGGATGGCCCTGCGCGTCCGTCTTCGCGTTCGACTCTGCACAGTTGTACCCCTCAGTCACCCACACGATGCTCGCGAGCATGACCCAGTGCGGCGCCAGGGATAGGCGCCAGTGGAGATGCGCCTCGAAGCGGGAACGCGAGCGGTGCGCACCATCTTCCTCTCCCTCTCTCTCTCGTTTCACGCTTCAAAGCTTCACACCCCGTTCAGGCGTCCGGCGGCACCTGGTGCCAGCCATCTCCTTCCCCCACTCCGCTGGCGGCGCTCACGACACGCGCGTCATTCCGGACTTTAAGAAGCTCGTCCATCCGCCTCCCCCACTTCGCGCCCTCCGCCGCGCACCTCACTCCCCTCCTGCTTCGCCCGCCTGGCCCGCCTCCCCGCAGGTGGACACCTGCGGCGTGTGGGTGGCGTCCACCCGGGCGTCCTCCACTCGGAGATGAGATCATGTTGGGGTCGCGATAAGTTACGGCGACCGCTAGCTCGGTGAGTATACCCCGTTTTGTGCTCTCCACCTCTACTTGACCCCCATCCACCTTGCTCTCCTCCGCTCTCGCACGGGACCTGTTCGCTTGCGGGCACGTCCGACTCGTGGGTGCGGCACGGCGTCGCTGCCGGCGGTCTTGTCCCCCACCCTCCACCTCGCCCCCTCCGCCCCCGCACCCGGAATCCTCGACTTCCTCCAGAGGATCCGGGTTCACCGTTCCCTACCCCTATCTGTCCCTCGCATGCCGCTCTCCCTCGCGCGCATCTCTGGAAAGCTCTCTCCACGCCAGCCCGTGATGCTCGACCTCCGTCTGGGTTGGCAGTACCTCAAACGAAGCCACGACACAATCCAGATGGACTGGCTCGGGCTCCCCTTGCAGTCGGCGGACGGGCTATACGCTAGCAGGACGCGTTCACGCTGCTCGGCGAGGGCGTACTCGACCACACGGAGGCGGCGGGCGTCGCACGGATGTACACAGACCTGCGCGTGTGCCAGTCGCGCGCGATCGCTTCTCCTCCTTCGACGAATCCTGCCGCTCGTCACCTTCACCGGCGACGACACGACGACGCGACGACACTCGTCGAATTCGATTCCGATACGCGTCCACCGTCCCGCACGCCGGTGGACAGTCCTGAGCAACGGCGGCAGTGCAGCTCGTCGCGCATGTCACAAACTCCAGCAGGCGCGCCCTGCCGCGAGTTTCTGGGGCGACGAAGTGGGTGGGTTGGAGCGCTACGAACTGCAGGTCCGCATGCTCCATTTTCTCGCCCCGCGGTCACTGACATCGTGCGATCTCTTCCTCCCGACAGCACTGCGGTGCTGGCACGGCCTTCGAGCGTGTGTCGGGCACGGGCACAGATGTTGACATCAACGTGAAGCCCGTGACCTGGACCGATCCCGCTCTGGTACAAAAATCAGTGAGTCTGTCTCGCACTGTGTGGAGCTACAACTACGTTCTCTGCGTTTTCCATCCCTTTGGATCCGAGGTCATCCTCGCCAAGGTCACGCTTCCTCGGATGAGGACGGTGTCCGACGTCCGTCTTTTCGGCCTTTTTCTCGCGCCCCGAAGCTCATCACTCACGCCCAGTCACTGTCGGATTCTTTGACGACATCTTCGTCCCTCTTGTCTACCTCCCGGAACCCTGCCCTTGTACGTGCCTCTTTGTTTATCCTGTCTTCCCCAACACCCATGTCCGTCCACCCCCAGCGACCCAAAAGAGCGAGCACACATCTGGCTGCTGCGATCAGAAGCAACCTCTTTCACGAACTCCTCGACTCGCCCCTGGGGCACCGGATGTACATCGACGTCGGCGATGTCCTCCTGGTCCGCGTCAACGCAGACGAGTACATGACGATGAGCCTGGACCAGCCGAAGGCGCATGAGGGCGTTCAACAGGCTCGTAAGGTGCGCCTGCCCCCATATACCGTCATCGTGAGTCTCTTCCCTACTTTCCCCTGTTCGCCAAAATAGCTTATGTCTGGTTTTGGTCCCAGTGCCCGATGTCAGAAGAGGGACTTGGCCCAGTTTTGTGGTGGAGAAACGCCGGCGTCGAAACAATGGACAAAGGCTGATGCGTAATCACACCGCACCTGGTTCGCCCACATCCTTCGGGAACACTATCCCATCCACTGTCCTCACCATACAGAACTACGCGAAGGATCGAATCCCAGACTCCCTCCAAACCAGTCATTTGACGTCCTCACGTGGTCCTGCGCGCCGAAAAGCATCGCTTCAACCCATGCACGACAAGAATTTTCTCGCGGTATATTCGTGGAGGTGCCCGGTAAAGCGGCAGGGTCACAACTAGAGGTAAGTATTCGACTATTTGTACCCTTGCATTTTGCTCATGACTTTTGCGCAGGTGGCAGCTGGAGATACGCTTCTTCTCGACCAGTCCTCGATACCACTCGCCGGGCGTGCTTTCGGATCGCGCCTTTGCGCCGAGAACCCACGCAACTTCCTCCCCGACTCTGGCCAACTCGCCTACCTGTCCACACCGCCGCCTACTCGCATATTCACGGTTCCGCCGGCTGTACATTGCATGCCTCTGGCGGAACGCAGCTCTCCCTTCACGCCTGCCGCGAACACGTCTGTTGTCATCGCGCCATCACTCCGTGTCGAGCGAGGATTCGACCATGGCTTCTTCTAATCGCTCATGGGCACGATCGCACGGAGGCTATGAGGGAGCCGCGAAAAGTACAGAGTGGGCGACGCGTCGACGAACACCACGTTTTGAGGGCCCTCGCAGGAAACCAGGCGTCTATCGATGGAGACGTCGAGACAGGAGTCATTCCGGTAAGCCTCACCGCTTATTGCGAGGTCTATACCAGCTGACGTATACTTTTGGAAACACTTCCACGAGCTCTTCCCACCCAAATCTGAACCTCCCGATGAAGCTCTCGCACACGTCCTGCGCGACGAGTCAATTCGTGCTCCCCCCAATCTTAGGACGACACTCACTACTCGTGCTTCAGCGAGACGTTTACGACAACCATCACCGTCGAACCCAACACGACGGGACCCTCTCCGTCACCGCCCGCCCCTTCCCGTCCACTGTGGCGGCCTCTCGCCCGGACGGTTTCTCGCCACCTTCGCTGCCGTATCCGCCGGGCTCGGATCCCATCGCCGGCGCACGTGCCCGCACGTCCATCATCCCTCAGCCCGCGCCCGCCTCGCCTTCGCGCACGTCCATTTCCATGCAAGCGCGATCTAGCCGCGCTCTACGCGCTACTCCGACTCGCGGGCGCGCAGCACCACGTCCCCGCTGCCCCACTGCGTTGTCCTCGCCCTCCGCCTCCGCCTCGCTCTTCACGTTGTAGTAGTATACCAATGAATGTATTTTCATCTCTAGCAATTACATGATTATACCCAATCGGGGGAGAGCGAGCACGGATGGCATTGCTGTAGGCTCAGATTGCGCGCGACGGCGCCTGGAGCTCCTCGCCCTCCCGTTGCGCCCGCGACAGCACCTCCGACCGCCGCTGGAGCCTGCCGCGCTGGCTCCCCTCGCTCGCGGCCGACCGCGGGCTCGACAGCACGTGGCCGTCCTTGACTCCGTCGTCGGCGTCGCACCGCACACCGGGGTCGCCGCGCGCTCAGGCGACGGCGGGTACACGGCGAGGATGAGGCTCGGGTCGTCGAGGGACATGTACGAGTCCCCCGCGGCATGATCGCCGTCCATGCGGAGCAGCGACGCCGTCCCGGGCAGCTTTCGCAGGCCCATCGGCGGGGCGTCCGCGACAGAAGGGAAAGAGGGGAGGGTGAGTGTGGAGCGCGGGCGGGGTCGTGGGGAGCGCCCGGGGCGCGCCTTTGTCCTCCGTCTCGGTGGCGATCCATGGGTGGTCCAGCGCGCTGGTGAGCGGCATGCGCTTGGTCGGCGAAGACGCGAGGAGCGCGCGGATGAAGCGCTCCGCTGTGTGTGCGGTCAACTCGCATGACGGGGAAGAGAGATGGGACACGCACCCTGCTCGCTCACGTCGTACTCGTACCGAGCGCCCACTGCACCCGTGTTCGGCGGGTTTGCGTCGAATAGGGTGCCCTGCGTGAGTTTGAGGAGAGACACTGGTCAGGGCGTTGCATCGATCGCGGCGCCCGAACGGACACAAAGACGATCACGCTAGCTGTCGACGACGTTCGAGTAACCGTCCGGTGCGGGGAACGCGTCGTGCACGGCCACCTCAGGCGCGGGGTATATTGGGGTGCTGCAGAACTTCTGGCTGCGTGTGTTGGCGACGAGGAACGCCGGCTCGCGATAGATGCTCCCCTTGAAGATTGTCTGGCCTTCGCTGGCCCAAAATCGGAGATCTTCACGTTGGGCGTGTATTGGTCCGTCAGGAGAATGTTCTCCGGCTTCAGGTCGCGGTGAACGATCCCTGGATCGTGCACTTACTGCAGACCATGATCAGAGGACGGTGAGGTGGTGGGTATAGAAGTGCTTACGGAGAGGGGGCCGCGGCGTCACAGGGTGATCCGCTGCGTCTCGGCCTCCGCTGTGACGACTGTGAGCGCATATACCAAGGCAGCAAATGAGGCGGAGGCGCACGCAGCTTGCGTTCGGTGTTGGTTATACACTTGAGCAAGTCTCCCGCCAGAGACGAGTTCCATCACTGGACCTGCATACCCAGGTCGTCAGAGCCGATCTGGGGGCGTCGTCAGGTGCAGTGCGGCGCAGGGAGATCACATACCCGCGGACCTCCCGCCCATCGAAAAGTCGGCAACCTTGACCGCGGCCCGCGCGGAGTGGTCCCTGTCCCACTCGATAGATCAGTGGGTGCTGCCTGCGGGCGGGCCGTCGCGTCGGTCAGCAGGGCACGCGCACAGAGGAGAGGGCGCGGACGCACGGATGGCTCACGGGCCTTTGTCGAGCACGGTGTTGCAAGGGATGGGCACGCCCCACGAGTCGTCGGCGTCAGCCGGATGTTCGGTCTGTGACACGAGCAGGGTCGCCGCCTGTGTCTCGAGGCGCTGTCTGCTCCGTCGTGGGTGGGGACCTATCCGGAACGAGATCAGCGAGAGGCGAGCGCATACAGCGGCAGAGGCGTACGCGGGAGGTGAGTCTGGCGATGACGTCGCCGTGACACGTCAGGGATAGTTCAGTGCGCCCATATCCTTTCCATGGCGGGTGGATTGCAGCAGATGTCGGATGGATGATCTGGGGGCGCCGCGCCAGATGTGCACCAAGGTAAATTCTGGTCAAGGTTGTGGGGACGCTGGACGGAGGTGGAGGAGGGACGGGAAGGCATCGCGACGCGGCCCGCGCGGAGTGGTCCCCGTCCCACTCGATCGAGCAGTGCGTTCCACCTGCGGGCGGTCGCGTCAGTCAGCTGGGGAGCTGCACACAGGAGCAGGCGCGGACGCACTGATCGCCCGCGAGCCTTTT